TGGGATTGTCCCTGGAAAATCGGGACAGTTGGAAGGTCTGCATTCATGCTTTCCACCTCCAAATCACCACACACACATAACACCCTCCTGAAACAACACATGGCCCACGAGAACAATCTGGGGCTCTTTATGACATCACAGCCCATCTGTCCTCCCGGCAAGGAGCCGTGACATCACACGCCTTGCAAGTTCAAGGTTGCTCCCGCTGGAGCAAACAGAAGCCACCTCTCCAGTCAACTTGCCTTTTAGGTCCGCAAAGGGCAGCTCTTATTTAAATGCCGCTGCTTAGCAATCCCCCCCCTTCTCCCTGAACCCCTCTTCTTGTTGCTCCTTTATTGCATGCTTCGGAGATTCCCTTTCGCAAGGCCTTGGGCGGGCGGTGGGGAGATAGAAGAGTCCGGTTTTCCCTGTACCTTATCTGTTAATATGGAATCCTGTTTCCCTTTCCTTCCTCGGAGGCACAGCAAGCGAATTGGCGATTACTCATGCCCTATTTGTGCCAAGCACACTTGCCCGCTGCCCTGCGATATTTCTGCACCCCTCCCCACCCCGATGTAGTGCAATAAGCGAGGTAATTAAGTGTAAAAGACAAGGTAGGGGTGCGGATTGGGGAGGGGGGAGTGAGAGGGACGGCTGGGGAGGGGAGAAAGAGAATAGCCCCCCCCTCTTTTCAGGAGCAGGGGACTGAGATAATATATGCTAATAACCGGCAATCAGAGCTGCCGAGTGGCATTAATACTGCTGACTGCAATAAGCCTCTGTGTGCAGCCCCCCTCCCCAAATGCACACAAAGAACCCCCTTCTCCGTGCACAAAAAAGGACAGACACACAAGGAAGAATGCAAACCTTTTCTTCCACGCTAGGAAGAAAGGACACCCCCCCCCAGCCTCCAGCAACCCACAATGATCTTAAAATTCGTGGCTTTCTGGGCAGCTGTATGGAAATAATTTTCCTCAGCTGAATGTGATAGCCCCCAATGTGAGGTTGGTGAGGGTTTTAAAAAAAAAGTGGGGGTGGTGAAGGAGTTAAGAGTACGGGGCTGTATTGAGGAAGGGGGAACGGATACAGAAAGCCAGTGGGATGCAATGGTTAGAGTGTCGGACTTGGGCAGACAAGGGCAGGGTTCGAATCCTCCCTTGGCCATCAAGCTCTCTGGCTGACCTTGTGCAAGTCACTGCCTCTCAGCCTAACTTACCTCGCAGGGAGAACCACATACCCCTCCTTGAGCTCCCGGGTAGGGAGAAGGGGGGCTATGAATTTTTTAAGATTTGCCTTGAGAGAGTCTTTGAATCTCTTTTGTTGACCACCGGCACTACGCTTTCCATTTTTACTTTCAGAATAGAGTAGTTGCTTTGGAAGATGATAATCAAGGATCTGCACAACATGACCAGTCCAACAAAGTTGATGTTGAAGAATCATCCCTGCAGGAGCAACACACAAAATTATTCAAACAGGCAGCAGTGATACGATCACTTACCTGGCTTGTGGGCCAGGGTGGAGGGGTGCAGGCTATTGTTTACTTTTTATTTATTGTTAAATTTAATTTCCATTCTGTGTTTATATACAATATGTATATAATTGAAATACCAATTTCAAAATAATTTTTATTTCAAGTTTTTTTAAAAAAAATTCATTTTAATAGAAAAACTCCACAGGGCAGATTGTGGGGACTCCAAATCCCATCAGCCCCCTGTAGGGATGAGGGGAGAAATTTGGCACAGTTCACATTTTAATGCAAGCCTACATGATTCACGCGGGATGTGGGTAGTGCTGTGGGTTAAACCACAGAGCCTAGGACTTGCCGATCAGGTCAGCGGTTCGAATCCCCACGACGGGGTGCGCTCCCATTGCTCGGTCCCTGCTCCTGCCAACCTAGCAGTTCAAAAGCATGTCAAAGTGCAAGTGGATAAATAGGTACCGCTCCGTCGGGAAGGTAAACGGTGTTTCCATGCACTGCTCTGGTTCACCAGAAGCGGCTTAGTCATGCTGGCCACATGACCCGGAAGCTGTACGCCGGCTCCCTTGGCCAATAAAGCGAGATGAGCGCCGCAACCCCAGAGTCGGCCACGACTGGACCTAGTGATCAGGGGTCACTTTACCTTTACCTTACACGATTCACAGTTCCTGAAACAATGCAGAATGAAACAAGGCTCATTTTCATCCGGGTCAAAGAAACGTTGCTGTGTACAAACACAGGCTGGGAGTCTCAATGGTGCCCCTCTGAAGGCTTCACCCAGAACAAAAAAAAAATGTGGCTAGCCCCCACCCCCCACCCCAATAGCTACGACTCTGAACAATGCATGAAATAAAACACAGGTATCCAAAAGTCACACTTCTCCAAATTTTGCAGCAAAGCTTTCCAACCAAATAATGTGTAGAAGAATGCATATGCCGCAAAAAAGCGAGCATTATAATTCAAATAAAAGTAATAGCGTACTACTACTATTATTAGATTGCAAAATGTGTATAGTGGCTAAATATGCAAATATTACGAGAAATTTGCACAAAACTGCTGGCAGATTTTCATAGGGACTCTTTGCAGTTACATAAATGTGGAGAACTGAACTATTTCCAAAATGAGAAACTTTAAGAAACCAAACTGGAAAGATTTGTCCACCCCTGAGCCCCAGTCAGAATGGGCAATAGTCTGGGATAATGTGAACATCTGGGATATGGCAACATCTGTAATGTCACAGGTCCGCCACAGCTGCTTCCTAGATTAAGGACGGTGCGTTAGTTTCTGCTCTGAAAGCTGCAGGGAAACTTTGCAATCTGTAGCCTTCCTGGTGCAGTAGTTAGGCCACAGGCTAAACAAACAATGGTTGCGATAAAATGAATTATCCAAGGACACGGAGGACAGGATTCATTTCATCCCCAGGCTGGCAATGCTTTGTGGATTTGAGAGGGAGCCATTTCAACAGGCTGCTTGGCCCAAGCTGACAGGCATTGGCAACAGGCAAAGAAACACCATCCGTCAAACGCCTGGTGGACTTTTTAGTGGCTGTCCTGGCCTGATGGCACAGCGTAAGGAACAGGCCTTGATTTATACCCCGAAGGAACTGGAAATGGTCAAAGTCAAAAAGAGTCTGTGCAGAACACACACACACACAGGTTTGCAATGCACCTTGAACAAGCTGGGGTCTGTGCTGTCCTCCCATTACAACTGCCCTTTTTTGGGGTCAAATGAAGACACAGGCAGCTTCACGACTAGGCAAGGGGCAGCTGGATGATTAGGGCTGTGATCAAGGGCTATGGAACAGGAGAGCAAGTTCGAGGTCTGGACCCTCAGGGGTCTCAGATTTCAGCGGCGCTCTGTGCGATGCCAAAATTCGGCCTACACACACCCTGCTTGCCGTGTGACCGAACCAGTCGCACTGCCCTGAATCCGGCTCTGTCTGGGGTGCAATCCGCTGCAAACGTCTCCTGTTGAAAAGTAACCAGGAGCTGTGCACTGGGGCTTGTGGGGGAGAATTACCTCCGTGGGTTGTGTGCCTCGCATTATTTCGGAGGGTGGTGCTAGTGGAACCATTGAGGGTTTTGTGTTCTCCTTCTCCTCTCAAGCAGCAAAATAACTTCAGCTGGCTCCAGATAAAAGGAATAAACTGACTCTTCTCCTTCTCCATTCTCGCTTTCCCAAAGGTCAAAGTACTCCACCTTTTGTTGAACTGGGAAATCAGGGTCTCTCCCCGCCCTTGAATCCAGGCTCAATAACAATCATAATTTGCTGGGTCTTAAACCACCCTGGGTTTGTGCCAAGACAAAGAAACCGTGGATGGTGGTGAAGAGAGGGATGTGGGGGCGGGGGGGGGGGAGAGAGAGAGAGAATCTTCCCCCCCCTCCCCACCCCCTCTCCCCTCCTCTTCTTCCTCAGACACGTGTCCCTATTGTTCTGCCTTTGGCTGGACACGAGGGAGGGGAGGGGAGGCAAGAGTTAATCAACACTCCGGGTGGAGAGAAACGACTGTCGAAGGAGCAGTTTTGCTCGAGGGGAGGGGGTCGATTTGGAGGAGGAAGGGGAGGGGAAACGACGAGGGGGGCGGAGGAATTCCCTGCATGGCGAGGAATTTGGGTAGCTGTGTTAGGAAACGTTGCGGGGGGGGGGGTGGAGGAGAGGAAGAGTGTTTCCAAAAGGGGCAGAAAATGCCGGCCTGTTCTGGAGCCTTGCTCAGTGGGGAGAGAAAGGGACGGATGCAGTGGAGGGAGCGATAGGGATCGATAGGTACCTATTTTTGCCTCCATCCCTCTGCCAACCAGCATTCCATTTTATTTTCTGGGGTGCAGAAGGGGGAGGAAAAAAGTTATCTTGCACTGATTTTAGAACAGATTTCAGAGCGCCGGCCTCTCTCCTCATCCTGGGTACAGACTTTGCCTGAGAATTTCTCCCGGAGCTGAAATTGGCCGTCGCCGCGCGGGTTATACAATGCTGGCGCGGGGGTGGGAGAGTCGAATAATATGGAAAAGGTGTTTATAGGCTCAAACCTTGGACTCTAGACGTGTGTGTGTGTGTGTGTGTGTGTGTGTGTGTCGCAGTGTTAACCAGATGGGCAATGGAATACTGTGTTCCCTCCCTCCTCCTCTCTCTCTCTCTCTCTCTCTCTCTCTCTCTCTCTCTCTCTCTCTCTCTTTCTTCCTCCCCCCCCCCTCACCGCACTGCCAACCCGGTCCCCTTGTCTGCTTCACCCTCCTCTCACTTTCTCCCTCCCCTGCCCCCCTGCCCTCCTCCCACCCTTGCCTTGCCTCTCGCAATATCCCCCAACTCCCCCCCCCAACACACAACGCCCCCATCCTTTAGCCCGGCCTGTTCTTTGCTCACGTGCTGACGGTCCTGGGGGACCGTTGATGGATTAATCCACCTGATCGCCCCCCCCAACCCCACTCCCCGCAGCCTGCGTCCCATATAAAGACAGGAGGAAGGGGGGGCGAGGCTGGAGCGTGCTGCTGACCTCAGCTATTCCTCGCCAGTTCCCGCCTCCCCCCCCCAACCTTGTCTCCTCCTCCACTTTCCTCCCCCCCCTTCCCATCTCCGCCCCTCCCTCCTCTCGCTCCCAAGCGGAGAGCGGGCGCTGTCCAAAGTGCTGATCGCGGCTCAGAAGGCGGCAGCAGCAGTAGCAGCAGCCAGAGGCGGCGGAGGCGGCGGCGTCTCGGGTCCTTTGCACGATGCCTCGCTCTTTCCTCGTCAAGAAGATCAAGGCGGACGCTTTCCAGCCCAGCCCGGCGACCCCCACTTACCACCCCTTGGAAACTTCCTACAATGAGTTGGCGGGACCCCTGGGAGCCGGCGACCCTGGGGTGGAGGATGGTAAGGAGGGCGAGAGGCGCTCTGAGAAGGGTCGGAGGGCGGGTTGGGCGGGCAGGGGGCGCGTGCGATGCTAGGAAGGGGGCGCCGTGCGCGTGAGAGCGAAAGTGTGGGGATGAGGGAGAGGGGACTTAGAAGGGGACAGGAGGAGAGTGTAAAGGGGGAACACTTGGTTATGCGCGTGCGGGGTGAGCCAAGAGCGGGCGCAACCTATTTGGCAAGGTCTGGGTCGTTTTGCATAGAGGGACCTCGATTATAACCACGGTGGGTGTTAATGGAGTTCTCCTTCCCCCTCCCTCGGTCTCTCTGTTCCCCGGACACAGCGACACTCCCCTCCATTGCTCCTCTAGGGGAACGGAAACAGGCACCAAAAAGTGGTGTCAATAAAAAAAAACAACCACACAAAACACAAAACTGCCTGCAGGGTGAGCGCGGAGGGGGAGGGTCTCTTCTACTGCTCCCACCCATCCTCCCACAGCATTAGTGTACCAGAGGGATAGTCCTGAACGTTAGAACAGGATTGTGTGTGTGTGTGATTGCCACCCCGGGGGGGGGGGTACATCGCCAGTGAGCAGGGAGAAATAACCTTTGTGAGAGAGCGTTGGATGCGTTATGACACATCGGCACCCAAGGTCTGGCTGGGCAAAGTTTGGACCAGGCAGTGGTCCTCACTCACACACACCCCTACAACTGAAAGGGTACACAAAACGGGGGAGGGCAGAGATGATACTGTACTTAAATTGGGATGCTTTTTTCCCCGTTATGCAATGTGAGATCTTAGAGTTTTCTGTAAGGGGAGAAATGTTCTGAGTCCAAGAGATTTGTATAAATACATTTTTAAACGGGGCGTGGGGGGGGGAGAGATGGGTAGGGTTTGCTCGCCCCAAGGCCGCAAAAGGGGGTTTTGAGCTCAAGGTAGGATAGGCAAAGCCTCTGCTCGCGGCCCGGACTCAGGATTTTTCCTTGCTTTCTTTCATCCATTTCGTCCTACAAAGAGGGAGGATGTTCTCCCCTCCCCCCTTCGCCTCCCAGCCGCTTTCATCCTCGGCTGCCTTCTTCCATCTCCCAAGTTTATGACCCAAAGCAGCAGCAGCAGCAGTACCTCCCATTCTCTACCCCCCCCCAACCAGAAACCCATGTTGGACAGGTCAGGTGGATGACTTTAGCGGAGCCGTTGCAAAAAAATGGGGCATGGAAAAGTTTGGTCTCTCTCGCGTTCTTGTGCGTGGCTAGCTGTGTGTGTGTGTGTGTGTGTGTTGGAAAGGGCATTCTGCGCGTGTTTCTCGAACCTCAGGCATTGGCCCAACGTATGTGAAAGCCAAGGACGCGTTTGCAAAGAGCGGCTCCGTGTTTTTGTGTGTTGTCGTGCTAGTTTGTTGCAGATGAATTCCCATAGGTGCACCCTGCGTAAAACTGCTGCGTCTGCAGAAATATGACATTCCTTCCTGAGTGGATGCGGTGGCCTTTGCAAGGAGTTTTGGTTCTGTGAGTGGCGTCGCTCCAGTCCGTTCGCCCCGACAGGACTGCTGTGCGAAGCTTCAATGGGTCAAGGGTGTGGATGTGTTCTAAGGATTTAAGAGATGTGTTGCTGGCCCAGATCAAAGGGTCACACACTCTGTTAACAGCGGTCAGTCCCTTAAAACGCTTGTAGCAAGAAAACAATGGAACGCTCCTGTTGTTTCACCCCAGTATTTGGGGTGAAGAGATATACTGTCCCTGTAGAAGGAGGCTTGATTAAACCACTAAGAGCTGGTGGTAGTCTGATCCTCCATAAATTTTAATTAAATTCTGATGGATACATATCATTCATTCATTCATTCATTCATTCAAAAGTGGGATCCCCATCTTTCCTCTGTGAACAATGATACCAGGGAGCAGGTCAGTCCCATTGAGATCAGTGGGTCTTACTTCCAAGTAGACCTACACGGGATTGATGAGGTTGTATATTCTGTGGTTGTTGGGTTGTGGTTGTTTAAATCAAATTGCTGTACTAAGGATATCTGACTCCTGTGATCAGAATAATCTGCGGAACAACCCTCTATCGCATTATTTTGAGAAGGCTGCTTCTTGCATACAATGTAGGCTTCTGAGAGGATCTGAAACTTTTTTTGTGAGCATTGGGAATGGGAAGCAAAAATGATTTGAAGATTTGAGGATGTGGGATTTAGGGACGGGAGCCAGGAGATAGTGGGGGGAGGAGGAGAACCACATGGCGGTGGCATTGGATTCAAGCCTTCACCCCACCCCCACCCCCAGTTAGTGAGAATCCTGCTCAATCACCCTCTGACATATGAGATTTCACACCTGCCCTCCCATTTACAAGGATATACTTTGCAGTCATGGAAGAAAAGGAGAGAGAAAGCAAGATTGTAATCCAATTTTTTGTGACTCTTGGGCAGCGGACCTCCTTGTTTAAGAACAAGGAATTTGGAGGAGGTGGGAAGAGAACATTCCTGTGTCCAAATGATTTTTGCAAGCATGTGAGAGGTAGTGTCCAGAGTGCTGGACTAGTACCAGGGAGACCCAGACAAGCTATGAGATTCCTGGGGTGTTGTTGCTGTTTAGTCATTTAGTCGTGTCCGACTCTTCGTGACCCCATGAACCAGAGCATGCCAGGCGCTCCTGTCTTCCACTGCCTCCCACAGTTTGGTCAAACTCATGCTGGTAGTTTCAAGAACACTGTCCCACCATCTCGTCCTCTGTCATCCCCTTCTCCTTGTGCCCTCCATCTTTCCCAACATCAGGGTCTTTTCCCAGGGAGTCTTCTCTTCTCATGAGGTGGCCAAAGTCTTGGAGCCTCAGCTTCAGGATCTGTCTTTCCAGTGAGCACTCAGGGCTGATTTCCTTTAGAATGGACAGGTTTGATCTTTTTGCAGTTCATGGGACTCTCAAGAGTCTCCTCCAGCACCATAATTCAAAAGTATCCATTCTCTGTCGATCAGCCTTCTTTATGGTCCAGCTCTCACTTCCATACATCACTACTGGGAAAAGTCAAATCCCCACTCAAGACATGAGGTTCTCTAGATGACCTTGAGCCAACCTCTCTCTAACCTGCCTCACAGGGTCCTTGTGAGTTTCAAAGTGGAGGAGAACTTTCCATTTCTTTGCTACGCTACCAGTGCCTAAGCTAAAATGGGGAAATCAGATTCACCTTACACTCAGATAGCTCAGTTGGTAGAGTATGAGATTCTTAATCCCAGGGCCATGGGTTTGAGCCCACGCTGGGTGAAAAGATTCCTGCACTGCAGGAGGTTGGACTAGATGACCCTCAGGGTCCCTTTAAACTCTACAGTTCTACGATTCCAGCTGCCTGCATTGCAACTAAAGGACTGTGTTGCTGTTCTCCTTATCCCTCCTCCCCAAGAACAGCGCCTCCCCTATTTCTTGGCTTTCTAAGTTTACCACCCAGGTCACACGTTGATGATGGTGTGCATGAAAATATTCAGTCCATGATCAAGGATGATGGAGTTGTCATCCCATGTTGGCTGCCTCTGGTGCCTTCCTTCGTCCTGAGACCCCCTCTGTGAGAGGGGATGGAGCTCAGTGATCCCTAACCCTTTCCACATGTGGGCTACAACTCCCACCATCCTCACTCAGCATGGCCAACGGTCATCAAAGATGATGGGAGTTGTAGTCTATCACTGATGCCTTCCTTCGTCCTGCCTCCTGAGACCTCCTCTGCGAGAGGAGATAGAGCTCAGAGATCCCTAACCAGCCGCCCTCTCTGGAGGAAGGCACCAGGAATAGCCAACATGGGATGGCAACTCCCCTAATCTTTTGACCATTGGCTGTGGGCTGGATGTTCTAATCTGAATGCACACCATCAAGTTGTGACCTTTAGTTACAATGCAGGCAGATGGAAGCTGTGGTTCAAAGCACCCTGGAGAAGGCAGCTGATGTAGCTCATTAGCAGAGCGCTGACTTTGCATCCCGCAGCCAAGCCCCAACATCTCCAGGTGTTGTTGGTTTGTTTTGTTTTTTAAGGCTCTTGTGTACCTGCTTGAGAAAGGCCTCTTTCTGCCTGGGTCCCAGAAACCCTGGCAGATCCTTTTTATCCAGCCAAGAGCTCTGAGCATCTGGTAGAGTCTAGGTGCCATTTTGATTCCCCAACGGAGCGCAGTTCTGGGGCATTGTGGGAAATGTAAATGTTGGCTCACTAGCCCCCAGTGCTGCTGGCTGGTAAGCTCACTGGGGCCCAGCCAGAGAGGAGGGGGTTTGCCCAGGCCCTCCACAAACCTGCAGCTGACCTTGACCTGGGATACAGCCAATGCACACATTCCCCCATGTTCCCTTTTAGCCTTGGCAACTTCTCTGCTGTGACCCTGTGGATAGGCAGCTCTGATCTGCTGTCATGTCCACAGTCCCACAGGTGTGCTGAATGCACAAAATGCTGCTTACATGCAAGCAAGCGGGGGGCTTCTGAAATTATTTCTCACTGTTGTGCTACAACATTTTGTTGTGGCGCTGCATGGCTTGTGTGAAATGTTTTCCAAGGTTTTTGCAGCAAGAGGTTTTGCAGCAAGAGTCATCTATCTTTGCAGTGGCATAATAATAATAATAATAATAATAATAATAATAATAATAATAATAATGTTTTTTATGCCGCCCATCTGACTAGGTTACCCCAGCCACTCTGGGCAGCTTCCAACAAATTAAAACACAATACGACATCAAACATTAAAAACTTCCCTAAACAGGGCATGATTCAAACTTTTTAAGCAGGGGGCTGGTCCACTGTCCCTCAGACCTTGTGGGGGGCCGGATTATATTTTTGGGGGGGAAATAATGAACGAATTCCTATGCCCCACAAATAACCCAGAGATGCATTTTAAATAAAAGCACACATTCTACTCATGTAAAAACACGCAGATTCCCGGATCATCCACAGGCTGTATTTAGAAGACAATTGGGCTGCATCTGGCCCCCAGGCCATGTCCTAGAAAGCTACTGCCAGTTTGTGCTGGCAATATGGAGATAGGTGGACCAAGCATCTGATTCACTGC